ACAGCGTGAGAGTCCTTGATCCCTGATTCCAACTCAGAGCTGCAACCCACTAGGGAAATCCTGAGATTAATTTACCGGATTTCCACCAACATTGGAAAAAATATTTAAATAAAGAATAAAAGGAAATAGAAAATATCAGATAATACCACATGTAGTAAGGTATGTCTTGTAAAGCTTGTTATATACATAACATATATGTTATATGTGTGTGTGTTTACTGAGAAATGATATAAAATACACAATGCATGATAGTCCAAAATATCTGCAAACTGTTTCATTATACACACTTATAAAAACAAGTAAGAAAGATCTTGAATCAAACACCTCCAGATAATGTGACTTTACATGTGCTCCCAAACTGCTAGAGACTTGGAAACGTTCTTTCAGATTCAAAGATGAAGTTCTCATGCTATCCTAGATAACAAGTTTCCCACAGTGGATGGTCAGCTTAGCTATAGAGCTTATGATGTCTCATTTCTTGCATGTCCTGTTCCCTTGAATCTATGCTGATTACATTTATTTCAAAGGGAGAAATTGCTCAAAACAACCTTCCTGAAAGCAAAATGGGCATCTAGATCCTGATTAACCCTACAAACAAGGTTAGTTATCACTGAAAAGTCTAAAACATAATGGTTTTTAGGATTTTTAATGTGATAAAAATTATATCCGCATATCTACCCAATAGTTTATGCTTCATTTGGTGGATTCATAGACACAGTAATTCAATGGATTTAATATTCTTACGTTCCTAAATTTTACTTGCAATGTAGTAGAGTCTTCCTATTTTTATGCCAAAGCAAAACTCCATATGTACCGATTTTGAATGCATTTGAGTAATTGTAGATAATTATTGTTTAGTGTACACTACCTTTAGGCAGATATGTAGAATAGCTCAAAGGACAAATAGACATCAATCTAACTTATATGTCTTTGAATTCTGATAAAGCACCACAGGCAGAGAAGAATGGAGAGTCCATTGGGTAGAAGTGAGGAACCAGCACGTCTTGGTATTGAGGAAATTTAGGAAGTTGGGCTAGAAGGAAAAATGAGAGATTTCTATAAGGTTTTTTAGAAATTAACCACAAAAGGCAGGGGAAAGTAAGCAAAAAAAGTCATTCCAATAAGAATGAGATAAAGAAAGTAGGGCAATAAGTGAATTTCAGTGAGAAGCAAGGGAAATGAAGGGCAAAGAAAGAAAATGAGTTATTAGCCTCGAAGATGGATGCTGGAAGCGTTCCTGGATTAATCCGTCCCACAGTATCACTATGGGACTTCCTGCTTGCACCAGTGGAGAGCCCTGAGGAAACAAGGACCAGAACTTTCTCACGTGGAGCGAAGAGAACCGGGAGGACCCAACATCATTCAAAGTAGCAACTGGTCTGGTGATATCACCAGAGAAAACGTTGATGATCTGTCTCTTTTTGCTTTCTCAGAGCTCCTCGATTTCAGATGGTATTTTCCCTTTCCACATTTGATCACCCTCTCTTTCTCATCCCAACTCTCAAAAACAATATCAACAATGAAAAATAGGACTATGTGGACTGAATTCATCCTGCTGGGCCTAACAGACGTCCCTGCACTCCAGGCGGCAGTTTTCACCTTTCTGTTCCTCACCTATTGTCTCAGCATCATCGGAAATCTGACTATCCTCATCCTCACCTTACTCGACTCCCACCTACAGACCCCTATGTACTTCTTTCTCCGGAACTTCTCCTTCTTAGAAATTTCCTTCACGAGCATCTTCATCCCCAGGGCCCTGATCAGCATCACTACGGGGAACAAGAGCATCAGCTTTGCTGGCTGCTTCGCCCAGTATTTCTTTGCCATCTTCCTTGGGGCAACAGAGTTTTATCTTCTAGCAGCCATGTCTTATGATCGTTATGTAGCCATCTGCAAACCCCTGCATTACATGACCATGATGAGCGGTAGAGTCTGCATTCAGCTGGTTCTCTGCTCGTGGCTGGCTGGGTTAATGGTTATTATACCACCTATCACCCTAATGAGCCACCAGGACTTTTGTGCATCCAACAGGTTGAATCATTATTTCTGTGACTTTGAGCCCCTTCGGGATCTCTCCTGTTCAGACACAAGACTCGTCGAGAAGGTTGTCTTTCTTGTAGCATCTGTGACTCTGGTGGTCACTCTCGTGCTAGTGATTATCTCCTACACACTCATCATCAGGACCATTTTCAAGCTCCCATCTGCCCAGCAAAGGACAAAAGCCTTTTCCACTTGTTCTTCTCACATGATCGTCATCTCCCTGTCTTATGGAAGCTGCTTTTTCATTTATGTTAAACCCCCCACAAAAGAAGGGGGCACATTCAACAAGGGAGTAGCTCTACTCATTACCTCCATTGCCCCTTTGTTGAACCCTTTCATTTATACACTGAGGAACCAGCAGGTAAAACAAGCCTTCAAGGATGCCATCAAAAAATTTGTGAATCTTTAAGTAATGTCAGAATTCAAGCCCTAATGGTTGACTCTCAACTATGTACCAAGTTATCTGCTATATACTAGGCATTCAAAAAGTGTTCAACTCAAGTCCAATAATAGAGACTTGGAGATAAATAACTTTCTGCCTATTAAGGGTTAGTAAAAAGAAATGAGGTTTTCTGAATTAGAAAGAAGCTCAACCTGAGTTGAAAATTCAATAGTTCCTGAGAAGATGACATTTAAGCTAGGCCTGGGCATATAAGAATGGGTCTAGCTAGCAAAGCAAAGAAAGAAATTTGCATAGAAGGAATATTCCGCAAAATTTCAAACTGGGATGCAGAGCATTTGTTTTTGTCATTTATTGCTCTTAAGAAAAAGAGAGGGAGAGATTATAGCTGTGGCAATGATAATCTCGGTTTTCAGTTAAGATAAATTCACACTTAAGTAAACTAAATGTCCACAATTGGTATGATACCTGGATTCGGGGTTAGATATATTAATCCTGACCAAGACATAAGGGACTGAGTGGTACAAATAGTTAAGGGCACTACCACTACCTGAAAGGTTGGTAGTTCAAACCTACCCAGAGCCACCTGGGAAGACAGGCTTGACAATTTGTTTCTGAAAGGTCACACAGCCTTGTAGCCTCTGTGGAGCAGTATGACTCTTCACATATAAAGTCACCACAAGTCAGAATCATTTCCATGGCAACCACAGCATCAATAACTGTAACTAGTGTAACTTTTGTTTTGAAATAGAGGCAATAACAAATGGAAGCACATACAGAAAAGAATGCCCTATTCAACTCCAAAGACCCTCCAAATGTTTTGAAAAGAAGAGGATGTCTCTGGAGACCTACGGGGTTGACAATATGAGATGTTGCAAAGAGCAATTAATATGAGGATTAAAAATATAATAACAAGTAAGGCATGCTGAGTGAAGTCGTTTTCCAAAAATGGGAGAAGAGAGAGCATAGTAACTAAAAAATTATGATAAATGAAATTTCATGTGTAGAATAATGGAGAAGTGTGACCTTAAAATTGTGTACTTCCATGTTATGCTACACTTTCTCAGTAGTAGTACCCATAAGGAAATTATTATATAAAGTCTATAGGCTCCCTTATTGTGTATATGAGGATTGCAAAGATAGTATCTTCTTGGCTGCAGTTCCACCAACAAAATCAAGCAATGGGAGGTGGTGCTGAATAGATATTTGCTGGATAGATGAAAAATAATGGTTGCACACATGGATGGATAGACAAATGAATTAAAGATCTTAGAACAAAATTATTTTTCAACTGGAAGAGCCTTCATCATTTGAGAAATTGGCAAAGCATGCCTCACATAGACTTTTTAGGTCTGCCAAGAAATTCCACCCTAATTTACAAATGAGAAAAAATTAATCCTAGAAAGGTAAAATAATAATGTAAGGTCACAGAGTCAGATAATCTACTAAGAAACAAGACTTTACCCACTCTTATTGTTCTTAATATCCACTCTTACTTAAAATAGGTAGAAATAGTTTTTCTACACTTACTTAAAATAGGTCGAAATAGAAAAACTATTTCGACCTATTTTAGGTAAGAATCCTTGGCTTTCCTTATGTATACCACCTTTCAAAGCTCTCAATAAACTTAAGTTTGAAGCTTTTAGAACGTGAGTCTTTGAGAAATAACTAGCTTATAAAAGGCCATATTTCCCCATCTGATTGTTCTTGGCTTCTCCTAACATACTTCTGTCTCTTCCTTCTGAACAAAGTGGATGCTTAATTTTTTCTCTTTCAGAAGGAACATAAAGACCCCCCCCTCCAAAGAACACAATACCTAAGAAGGCAGGATTTTGCCTCAATCTTCACCTCCAACAGGATTAAATGATGAACAAGGATGCTTATCTCCATAATTACCTGTACTCCCTCCTCTTCTTTCTGAACCATAAGCCAATTGTTTTAATTCTTGGGTTTGAGGCAGGAATAATGATATTACTGCATGTAACAAAGTGCTAGTCCCATAATAGGAACACAAATGAATGTTCAATTAGTAAAGGAACAAACAAAAGAATACATGATGTCTGTATTAAATAAGTCTAAGCAATTTTCATAAGCTTTTTACCAACTACTTGCTTTTAAAAGTATCAAACACGATCGCACAGGCACAGCTGTACGGGTATTTTGAACTGCACAATTATTTCCTTGCAGAGACATCTACAAATAAATTCGTTGCTAATATTACCTTGTTTAGCATTTTCCTAAGGACCATTTTCTCCTTTACTCAGGAAGTTTCAGAGGCAAATATTAAAAACAGATCCCCTCCCCTAGACAGCACAAGTGTGCTTTCTGAGGTCCAAGAGATGCATCAAAAAATTTCTAGTCATGGCAACCACATGTGTTACAGACCTAAAACTGCTTCATGAGAGTAGACGGCCAGGCCTTTCTTTCATGGTGCCATTGGGTGGATGTAAACCACCAGACTTTAGGTTAGTAATCAAATGCAAATCATCCATGCCATCCAGGAACTCAGAGTCACACATGCCCCTTTAAAAATGGATGTGACCAACAAAAATGAGTTGTCCACTAATCTATAATTAGAGACTAAAGAAACTGACTTTAATCTATCTTAAAAAAAAACACTTAGTAAATATGATGTACGTTGTACTACAATGTCAAGCACACCAAATATCATAATGTCGTAAAATAGCGAGAAATTATAACCCCTAGATTACATGTCCAATGAAGGAGCCCTGGTGGCATAGTGGATTACTTGTTAGCCTCCTAGCCACAAGGTCAGCAGTTTGAACCCATCAGCTAGTCCACAGGAGAAAGATGAGGCTTTCTGTTCCCATGAACATTTAGAGCCTCAGAACCCCACAGATGCAGTTCTACTTTGTCCAATAGGGTTGTTATGAGTCAAAATTGACTCTATGACAATGAGCTATGTCCAATGGTGGTCAGTAGTGAACTCGGCTGCATGTGTTCCCACTACATCATTTCATGATGCTGCTATCTCCACATGATGCTTCAGGGGTCACCCAACAGGTCACAGAGCCTGATGTCTCAAATCCTCAACTAAATGCCCCATCCAAAAACTACTAACCCAAACTAGTTGACAACTGTAAATGATCCAAGAAACGTTATCCGTAGAGGTCTCCAGCAGTAACACTCCTGGACCAGCGTCTCTAACCCCTTTTACATTCCCGCCGAGCATAACGTGACCGCTCGCCTTCTCGAGATGTCTCACAGAAACCTCCCCCCTCTCTTCACCGTTCTGCTGGTGCCGCAGCCAATCTGGGGCAGTGCAGGTTCCTTTTAGACATAACCATTTATTTCTGTCCCCAAAGTCTATTAACATGGGATTCCTTTGTTCGCCCTCTCTCTGTGACTTCCTTCACCCCCTCCCGTGGCCATACGCCTGTCCCTCTGTCTCTTCCTCTCTCTAGCTCTGCTCTTGCTTACTTTCAAGGGTGCTGGATGGAGGGGTAGTGGGGAGGGAGGGGACAAAACGAGGAGGTGATACCACGGGCTGAATAGAAAGCAAACGTTTTAAGAATGATGAGAGCAACACATGTACACATGTGCTTGACACACTGGATGTATGCGTGGATTGTGATAAGAGTTGTACAAGCCCCCCCCCAATGATATTACTATTTTTAAAAAATAGTCATAAAATGTATTTTTAGGCAGCTAATCAGAATTCGTACGTTCCACTGACATATATTTCATGAAAAAGAAGAGAGGGCAGAAAGGGATACTTGGTAGATTTGCATGCGTGTGCCACTCGTCAGTCTGTCAGCAGCGGCTAATACTTTTCCACTGTAAGAAACGCAGTCTACTCAGCTGTATGGGGAGATTCTCACTGCCGGGAAGTGCAAGGACGTCCTGCAATGTGGACCTTCTCTGTAGTTCCTGAGAAGACTTTTCTCTATTTATCTGGTAGCCATCCTTTCCCACACTCTGAGTGCCCTTCAAGTGTCCTTTTTTATAACGAATAGGCTGTCACTTATTTTGAATGTGTCATTCCTGGATAATAGACCATACGATTTTCCCCCAAAATGGCTAATACCAGTCGATTTCAGCTCACAAATGCCGAGGAGGTTGATCTTTATATGTTCTGTTTAATGTTTGATGACTTCCAGTTTTCCTAGAGTCATCCTTCAGATGTTTCAAGTTCTGATTATTAACGTGTGTTCTCAGCTGTATCTTCTCATTTTGTGACGGGCCCGTCAACACATGAAGGTTCTAAAGGGTTTAGTCCTGCAGGTTTACCTCCATCCATGTCAGGATGGTCGGCTCTACTTTGGGAAGGCAACTCTTCCTCAGTCATACTTTGAGTGCTTTCCCACCAGAGAAGCTCATCTTCGGGCACGGACTCTGACAATGTTCTGTGGCTATTTATGAGCTTTTCGGTTTCTGGCAATGTTCTATCGCTATCCGTAATGTTTTCTGTGGATAATTCCTTTAAAATGGACAATCTACTCTTTTTTTGTAGTCTGTATGTAGTCTTGAAGCTCTGATTAAATGTGTTCACTGTGAGCGAACCTGCTGTATTGGAAATATCAGCGACATCACTTCTAGCATCACAGCAGAGACTTCTTCAATACTGCGAATGGTGACTTAATTTTTTTTAGCTTGCACTGTGCTCAGCAAGCTCTCCCCTTGCTACTTTCTAGTTCCAGGTCTTCGCCTATTTCATTGTGATGCTTTATTCTATCTTCTCAAGTGGCCTTTTGAAATGTTCTCATCAGCTCTTTCACTTCAACATTTTCCCATTCACGTTATCAATTCTGCATTTAAGAGCAAGTTTTAGTGTCTCTTATGACATCCTATTCTGTCCTTTCTTGTTTTCCTTTCTTTTTAATGTCATTTTGAATTCAGTGTTTGATGTTCATGATATCACTCCACAGTGCAGCTGGTCGTCTGTCATTGATTCTTTTTAACGGTTTTTTAAAATGTGGTTTAGGTGGTTGGTTTACATTTCAGACCATCACCTCTCATCAGTTCGAAACCGCACATCAACCCCCTCCTCAGTGTTTTATCCATAACCCTCTGTAACTTCCTTTCACTAAAGTCAACGCTTGTCAAACTTCTAGTCTGTTGCTTTACTTCCCTCCCTTACCTCTCTTGACCCTAAAAAACCCCAACATCTGTTGCTTTCACCTGTGAGTTTTTGTTCTGATTTTTGTCCTTAAAGTTGTAGTCTCATACAGTGTTTATCCTTTTATGGTTAACTAATTTCATTCAACATAATGTTTTCCCAAGATCATCCACGCTATGGTTCTTTGTGGTTTCATACATTTTTTTTTAGCAATGCATAATATTCAATTGTATGTTACATTTTTTTTATCCATTCTTCCAATGGTAGGTATTTGAGCAATTTCAAATTCTTCTATTGGGATCAATGCCATGATGAACAAGATAGTTCGTATATATCTGCTCATGAAATAACTCTCCCTTTTTTCAGGTATATACAAAGTGCCAGATTATACAGAATTCTTATCCTTTATTGTTTGACGTAGAAATATATTGCTTCTCACAATAACTGCACATATTTACAGACACATTGACAGTGTTTGAGGGTTCCACTTTTCCATACCTCCTTTAGCATGTTTTTTTGCTTGTTTGTTTTGAACTTGGCTGTCATTGTCAGTATAGTCCTTGCTTTGATTTTATCTGCCAAGTGACTAGTGATAGTAGCTATTTCTTGTTATCTTTGTTGGCCTTTTGCTTGTCATCTGTAGTGATTGTCTGTTCATGTCCTTGCCACACTTTTTAATTGGGTTATTCATGTTTTTCTTACTGAGGTGTTTCCATTTCTATAGCTTTTACAGATTAGTCCCTTGTCCATTGTACCATTGTCAAAGATTGTATCCCAATCTTGGGTTCTCTTTTTACTCTTTTAATAAAGTCTTTTGCTCATAGGAGTCTCATTTTTAGTAGGTTCCTTCATCTATATTATTATGTACGATGTGTATTTCTTCATTATATTTGATAGTGTTTCTATACCCTGCAATAAGTTCCTTAAATTATTCCCTACTTTCTCATAGATGCTCTTATAGTTGTGGGCTTTACATTTAGGTCTCTGATTCATCTAGAGTTTTTGTAAACTTGGGGTGAGGTGTATCAACTGACAATTTGTTTGGTCTTCTGTTATTAATGTTGAATGCATTAAATATGTTCTTGAGATGGTCTCTAAATTCAGGTATAAGAATCAAGGTGATATTTTTGCTGTTTGGGAATTTATTTCAATATTTTTTCCAAAGTCAACATGAGGCATTTAAGCAATTGATGCTTTGTTCCACAGTTCGCCCTTGACCATGCTTTGACTGATGATGTTGTGCTCCGTCATCAGTCCCTTCAACAGATTCAGTTCATCTGATTCCCTAGTTTTCCCTACGGTGAGGTTCACATATATAGTTACTGTAAATGTTGTTGAAAAGTAACACTGTGTCTTTCAAAATTCTATCATATCTCTACTGTCATTTATATCATCAATGCTATATTTTCCAACCACGAATCCTTCTTCATTCCTAAATTTCACATTCAATCACCAGCAATTCCCTCAGACCACTGACATAAATGTTTCATCATTACCATCTATAACAGTGGTTCTCAACCTTCCTAATGCTGCGAACTTTTAATACAGTTCCTCATGTTGTGGTGACAACCCCCCTCCCCAGCCATAACATTATTTTCATTGCCACTTCCTCACTGTAATTTTGCTACTGTTATGAATCATAATGTAAATATCTGATATGCAGGATGTATTTTCATTATTAGAAAGTGACCATAATTAAAGCATAGTGATTAATCACAAAAACAATATGTAATTATATATTGTGAAATATTTATTTCCAATGACAAATAAATGAAATTTTTTCTTGAAGCATGGTGTAGCATGGGTAACAGTCTTCATGCTGGGTACGCATATGTGGGCTTAACTGTACGTGGGCAGACCCGCTTGGGGATGGATAGAGGAGTAGTGTCTTAATTCCTCAGACCACCAGAAATATCTGTTTTCCGATGGTCTTAGGCGAGCGACCCCTGTGAAAGGGTCATTCGACTCTCAAAGGTGTCACGACCCACAGGTTGAGAATCATTGCTCTACAATATCAGCTAAGAATGATAGATTCACATACTTAGTATGCATTCAAAATGCCCTAGTCCACTCCTATTTCTCAGAAAAAAAAATTTAATTCCATAAGTAGTTGATATAGTAAAAACTGATAAAAAAGCATCTTATAATTTCTAGTTGCCCTTTTTCAACTGAAAATATATAAAACTTTTAAACTAGTACTTTAAATGTTGTTTGTGCTAATTGTGGCAAATTTTTACACTCCTCTGAGAGAACTGTTTATTGGTGCTAGTTAGATATTAATTTTTTAATAAGCAAGAGATTCATTAGTAGCTTTTAATTTATTTTAATGTTATATAAAACCTTCTGTACTCTGTTCCACCACTGTTTCAGTTTGTCCCAGTGCTCTGGGTTGCATGTTGCTTTGATATTGGGAGCTATGTGTAAACATGCTATGAGGAAGGCATGTGGCCTTCCCAGACATCACCAGGTTAAGAAAAATCAAACTCAACATCAGGACAAGACTAATTCCTGTGAGCCTCAGATGAGACATGCTTTGATCCTCAGACCTTCTTTGCCAATTCTGACAAGAAAGTACAGCATGCAGGAATGCTGGCATCCAAAGGGTGTACCCCACCCCTGGCTCTTCTTTCTTAAAGGTAGTGAGATCACTCACTCATGCTTCTTAGATGCCTTTTATTAGACCAGCAGGATGGCAAAACTGTCCATGTTCGTGTTAGAGTTCTATCCATACTAGTTGTGTGATGCCACTAGATCACTTGGTGGGAGGTTCAACGAGCATGGTACAAAGAACCACATCAAGTAGACCACTGCACCATACTATGCCACTGGAGCTTCAAATATAGTGGGTTCACACATGGTAGACAGACTGACTATGAAGAAGGAAGAGGCAGCCCACTTCTAAAATATATGCCACCCAAACCCTATGAAGAGATGCAGAACACTGCCTTATAGAGGGTGGCAAAATGAAACTCTCACAGTGAAATGCACTCCAAATATGGCTAGTGGAGAGAAAGCTCCTCAAAGTAGAGCAACTTTAATGTCATGGATGGAGCAAAGCATTCAGACCTACATTTGCTGATATTATACAACTCAAAACGAGAATGTCCTATGAACAGTTACAGTCTTGGAAACCCACAAGGGTCATTGTGAGTCAGCATTGACTTGATAGAAGTGAGTGAGAATTTACAGCCTTATGAGATCTGAACAAATTGACATAGAAGCATAAGAATTAAATAATTGCAAATATTGGCTTCTTTTGAGATAAATATAAATTCAAGAATGTAGAGTGGATGAAAAGGTTTCCTCAAATTAATTTCTCTCCCCTGCCAAGTTATGAGCAGAACTTTTCTGAAATTGTAAGATGTGCATCTAGCGCATGCAATGTAAGACTCACATTACAAATGTAAGACTCATCTAGTGCATATGATCTCCAAAAACATCTTGTCCCTGAAGCCATCTTGATGCCACTCTATAGAAGCAAGTACCTGCATTAAAACAAAGGTACCCTTTCAAATTAATTGAAACTGGCTTCAAATTATTGTTCACATCTTTAAATTTCTATTTGGCCAGTCATAATTATGATTATAAAAGTAACTTGTAACATTATTTTCTGGTTTACTTGCATGATAGGCTATCAATACAATGTTGGACTGTTTTTGCATTATTTCACTCAGAAAAAATATATATATCAGGATAGTAAAAACAATATGCCTTTCTTTTCTCTTTCGTTCATAAGTCAGGGAAAAAAAACTTTACTTTGATATTGTTCATCTTTACATAAGTACATTGTTAGAAGTATTAATTCGCCATTGTAAAGGAAAAATAAATACTGAAAGCCTTTTTGGCCAAACATAATGATTAAATGGGACTCAATTATTGCTGATCCATCCTGTTCCGTTTATCAAACTGCCTACCTAAGATTCCTATGACGTTTATATTATCTAGTTATGTCAATTGCCAAAAGCCATAAATAATTGAGCGGATATTTTCGCTGTAACCAATCAAGGATGCAGAAGGTGTACACCCAAACGAAGGGGTTGTAACAGTTACATTGCTGCAAGGGCTTAGGAAATATTTCTTTCATGAGAAAGATAGAGAAACAAAGATCCAAGAAAAAAAACCCCAAAACACCCTTTAAAGTGTTGCCTGTACCTAGAAGTTGATTGTTTCTCTTGAAGTTGACCATTCCTCAAGAAGCTTTCACTTAAGCAGGTAAAATCTAAAGATATTCAAAGTTTTAATTTTTATTGCTATTCTTAGAATCAAAATAGGATCGGAACTTAAGAAGATATGCTTTGTGCCCCTGATGTCATTATTCCACTAACACTTTGAGAGTAAAAGAATCCTTTTGACTAAGTCATTAAAGGCCCGTTTGACTTGTTTGTTTCTCAGTGTGTAAATAAATGGGTTTAACATGGGGGAAATGGAAGTTCCTAGTATCGTTACTCCCTTATTAATTGACATTTCATTTTTGGCGGAAGGTTTGATGTAGATAAAGATGCAGCTGCCATAGGTGATGGAGACCACAACGATGTGGGAAGAGCAGGTGGCAAAGGCCTTTTTCCTTTGTTGAGCAGAGGGGATTCTTAGAATTGTTCTCATGATATATGTGTAGGACAAGACCACGCACAGGAGCGTGATGAGTAAGATCAACGCAGAGCAGATAAGCACCATCCGCTCTATGAAGGCTGAATCTGTGCACGTGATCTTCAGGATAGGATTGGCATCACAGAGATAGTGGTCAATGACGTTCGAATCACAGAATTCCAGGTCCAGTCCCAAGGTGAGAGGGGGGAATAGAAGCAACAAAGTGATCATCCAGCAGCCAAGGACAAACCTTTGGCAAACCCTATGGTTCATGATGGTCATGTAGTGCAGGGGTTTGCAGATGGCCACATATCGATCGTAGGACATGGTGGCCAGAAGGAAAAATTCTGTTATTCCAAACAAGTCTGTGAAAAACAGTTGGCATACACAAGCATCATAGGTAATAGTCCTGTCACCTGTTGATAAGCTGTATAGGAATCTCGGAATGCAGGCAGAAGTGAATGAGATTTCTACGAAGGAGAAATTTTGGAGGAAAAAGTACATGGCAGTTTGAAGGTGGGAATCCACTAATGTGAGGATGATGATGGTCAGATTGCCAGTTATGCTCAACATGTAGGTGATGAGTAGAAACACAAAAATCAGAATCTGCAGTTGTGGGTCTTCTGTCAGTCCCAGGAGGATGAATGTGGTTATGGCCGTATGGTTTCTCATCCCTGTATCATGACTTCTGTTTAATCTGCATGTAAAATTGAGAGACGTGATAGGGGATAATTTTTCTGATGTAGGTTGGTTTAAAAGTCCGACTACATATATATATGCATCAAGAACTGTTCAATTGCTTTTAAATCTGTCTTTATTTATTTATCAATCATTTTATTGGGGACTCTTACAAATCTTATGACAATACAACATTCAATAGTATTAAGCACACTTGTACATATGTAGCCACCAACATTTCCAAAACATTTTCTTTCTACTTGAGCCCTTGGTATCAGTTCCTCATTTTGCCATCGCTCCACCACCCTCCCACCCATGTGAACCCTCCCTATATATTATTGATGTTATTTCATGTCTTCCACTGTCCCTTGTCTTCCTTCACCCACATTTCTGTTATTCATCCCCCTGGGGGGTGGGCTATATATCCAATGTTGTGATGGGTTTCCCGTTTCTCACCCACCCCTATCCTCATGACATCACTACTGTTCCTGAGGGTTTTATCTGTCCTGAATTCTATTTTTCATAAGCTCTTATCTGTATCAATGTGTGTACTCCAGTCTAGCCAGATTTGTAAGGTTAAACTGGGTCATGGTAGTGGTGGGGAGGAAGCAACCAGAAACTAGAGGAATTATGTATGTTTTGTCAGTGCTATACTGCAACCTGGTTAAATTGTCCCTTCCTTGTAACCCTGTTGTGAGGGGATGTCCAATTGTCTACAAATGGGCTTTCGGTCTCCACTCTAACCCCCCTTTAATTGCATTGATATAATTGTTTGTTTTGGATCTTTTGATACCTGATACCTGATCCCATCAACACCTCGTGATCACACAGGCTGGTTTGCTTCTTCATGTGGGCTTATTTGCTTCCCTGCTAGATGGCTGCTTGTTGAACTTCATGCCTTTAAGACCCCAGGTGCTTTATCTTTTGATAGCCAGGCACATCTACTTTCTGCACCACATTTGCTTATGCACCCATTTTGTCTTCAGTGATTGTGTCAGGAAGGTGAATATCAAGAGTGTCAGGTTACTAGAACAAAGTGTTCTTGTGTTTAGGGAGGCCTTGAGTAGAGGTCCAACATCTATCTGCTATCTTAATAGCTAACATATAAATATATGTACACTGGCCTCTATCCCTTTCTATATTTGTCTTTAAACATGCTTAACAGCAACATAGGGAAAGATATACATTTTACATTATAATACACGTACCATATCACACACATAATATATATCGCAAACAATAGCACCCAAAAATTAGTACCTCACTGGTTGTTTCTATTTTTATAAGTATCATTAAAAAATAATTGTAAATACCTTTAGATGAATTTGTAGCGTGTTGGACTGCTAACTGCAAAGCAGCATTTCAAAATGGCCAACCTCTCTGCCAGAGAAACCGGCACTGGGCTTTCTACTCCTGCACACAGTTACAGGCTTGGAAACCCACAGGGACACTTCTACTTGGTACGCAGCTGCTCTGAACTGACTCAATGGCAGTGGGCTTGTTTATTTATTTGAGCTACCATGCCTGGTGGGGGTTTGCAAAAACAAAACAATGAATTTTCTTTATGACATTTTTAGTTATACGGTAATTTGCACTATAAGGGGATCTTATATGTAATTATTTTTTTTTGAAATCTTTAGTCTACTTTTTTCATTACATTTTGGGCTGGACTTATGCATAGCCAAACTTGTCCCATATTGAGTAATCAGATCACGCCTATAAGAGGACCCTGCATTTAAAATACTTTTTCATCATTGCAAATTGAAAGTTTAGTCAGTTACATTTATTTGTTTGAATTTTTTCCCAGGGGAAATTATTAATGTATGGGGTTGGTTATAACAAGTTCTTAAAACCTTGTTATAGCAATTTACAAGTCCATTTTCCTGCTGTGGCCAACGCTATAATTATGATACAAAAGACAATTTCCTCGCAAAAAGTCATTCTCTAAATATTTTCCGTGAATTTCTCAAATTTTATTTTCTTTAGTAGATTTTCATTTATTATTATTCTTTGATACATCATACCGAGACAATTGTTACACAGTTAATTCACTGAAAGATAAGGGAATGTTGTATAAAAGCTTTGCACACTAGAGGTATAGGGTCCTTATTGTTCCATGATTTTATTTAATTTTGTTTTATTTTTAACTCATATACACTAGTTTTCCTTATTTTCAAATTACTTATCTAAGTATTGAGTTGAGCTTCCAACTTCACTTTCTGGTTTTCTTCAATTATTTGTAATAATTTTTTTCTAGTTCCCACTTTCAGTTTACTCAACTCTTTACCATATGGCTTCTTAACACAGTCTTCCGCTGAAGCGGCTCTTGGCCAGGCGACTGGTCACGTCTAAAGCTAAATAGAATGATTCATTTTTGTTAGCTCTTTCCTTTCACTTGGAAATCACTCTTGGTTTCCTTTAGCCTTTTTGCTTCTTTGAAGTTATCTCATCTCATTTTTTCAATTGAAGTTCCTCATATTTCCCTAGTTCCTCTTCTCTACTTCTCTATGTTTTCATGGACATTCTTATGGGTTCTATTTAGCATTAAAAAATTCTACCTGTCTTTAGGCATCTGCATCTGGAAGTTTGACTTTCTTTCCAATTAATACATTCAAATGATAATTTCACATCTTCTGAACCACTCTTTTGTTTCTGACTCCATGATTGTAAATTGTACTAAAACAAAGGGCAGCAATTATAATCTCTTATTAGCAATAGAAAATTCCCGGGTGGGGCTTAACACCCTTGCCTGCTGACTAAAGATTGGAAATTCAAGTCCGCCCATACATTCAGAGAAATCAAGTTTATTGTCATTGAGTTGATTCTTATTTATAGCAACCCTATAGGGCAAAATAGAACTATGCGGTGTGGGTTTCTGAGGCTGTAAGTCTCTATGTGAACAGAAAGCCTCATTTTTCTCTCTTGGTGCAATTTATGGTTAGCTGCCAAGCAAGTAACCCACTACCCCACCAGGGCTCCAAATCTACCAACCAGCCTCTGAAAAGTAAAAAAACTTGTTAATCTAGCAGCAAAATCAGTAATTGTACATGCAGTGGAACATGGCTGCGGCACACATGGGCTTGCTTTGAGTCAGAATAGATTTGACTGGAATTATTAGTACTATCATTATTCTGTGTTCTGTCTTATTTTTGCCCTTCCTTAAAATTCTATTCACTTGAATTTTTTTTCCCAATTAATCTTTCTGTTTCACTGACTCTAAATGAGGGTGGTTTTCTGTTTGCTTCCTTTTAATGATAGTGGCTGTATTGTGGAGATGGGTATGGTACACACTATAATGTGAAACAGTTGTTGTGTCAACAATTTCACATCAACTATCTGCCTCTGGAACCTTGTGGAGTAATTTTTATGTTTTCTATGAGTTTATTACAAACTGCAATTGTTTTATATCAATATGCTTGATACAGTTTATTTCGATTGCTACAGAAATATACCTCCATGTTTTCTCCTATATAACCACTGATTGAGATAAAAAGGACAAATTTTCAATTTTACAGCCCAGCACACAAACATTTGCACACCCAGAGTTCCTCAACCGAAATCCCCAAACCAGCCACGTTACACGGGAGTCCATTTTGAGCCTGTGTCCATGTGGCTATGCACTTCTCTGCTCTCAAAAGAACCCATGGCTGTAAGTAGACGTTGTGGATGTGTGCTTCCATCGATATTACAGTTGAAAGCCCTACGAGAACAGTCTGCTCCGTACTCGGGATCATTGTTACTAAACAAAGCAATCAGAGTCCAAATTACTAAGCAGACTGGCTTGGTGGTTGTTTTTCATTAAACAATATTACGCTCTTCACAGATGGTTTCCATGTTTTGTTCAAAACCATTAAGATTTTTTTTTTTAAAGCTCCTCCTAGAAGTCCAAGTTATATGGCTAACTTCTTGGTTTAATTTGGCTGCTTTAAATATATGGGTGAGTCAACAAGTTTTACTTCTAGAGCTACAATTTAGACCTGCCAGTGTTTATTAAAACATTTTTTATGTTATCAGTGGATGACTGCAAACAAGTTCTCTCAATTATTCACTAGTCTTATAATCATTAGGGTGCTTTCCAAAGAAAGATTAAATTAAAAGCAATTAGTTATAAGGGGCATATGTCGGATCAGTTAAATTCAAGGTGAATAGGTCAACTCAGAAATCAGTCACTATCTTTTTAATTCCAAATATATAATCTTGATAGATTTTTGGAATGATTTAGGATGATCAGGGGCCCAAATTGAAGATGATTTAAGAAAATAGGAAAGTTGAGCATAAGAATTTTTCTCCCTTCATGACAATGTATTTGCTTACTCTTTAAAGATAATAAGGGTTGCTCTGTAAGAGTTCCTCTGGAATACCTTATCACCTCCAAACGCTACGACACTGACTTTGCCACTCGAGACTTCCTTTTGTTCCCCAGACTCAAAGAACACTTCAAAGGAACATGAGTTGAGTCTCTTGAAGATGAGAAAACAGGTCTTTAAGTGGTATATTGATGAGAGCAGAAATCTTCGGTGACGGGTCAGAGATGGAAACACCATCTTCAGACGTATGTGCACCTTTTTGGAGGATATGTCAAGGAAAGCTGTCTTCGTATTCTGATATTTTTGTTTAATGATGGCGTCTTTGATAGCATAGCAGTACTTTTGACTGCCTTCAAATTTCCTTCCACATAGTCACTTTTCCTAGTGAATTTCCAAAATTTGCTCTCTGCTCTCTCTACTAAGGAAAGAGGACTAACATGACTTAGTGAAACACTAATATGGTTCTAAGACTCATGGGCTCACACTAGAGATATTGGATTGATTAAATTAGTAATAATTGATTACATAACTAAATAATTTAATTAAAAGATAAATATGCCTGATATGTATCAAATGCTTACTTTTCCATCTCAGTTATATTATTCCTTAATCAAGAGTTATATATAATTGGCATCTGACTCAAAACTGGAAACTTGAAGCCCTCTCCTTGGTCATATATCTCATAAAGGCAGTTTACACTGTCTCGTGACATTGATTTCTGTTTGC